CTAGGCAGAATTGATAACATAGTTAAAAGGTCACCACAAGTTCAAAGAACTCGAGTGGTTCTTCGTGGCTGCTAAAGAGCAGCACGCAAGTAAGGAGCAGACAGAAGGTATTGCTGGAGAGGTGAGGGAGGGCTGGACCCAGCTTCTCTCCTAAGGACTTTGTTCTTACTCTTGGTCTTTAATTTCTGTCTTTTTTCTTCTCCGTGGTTATCATTATAGTTAGAAGCCGTGGGGTGTGGCATAAAGCCTAAAATTAAGGCCCAATATTATGTGCTACCTCGATGTCTGGTAAAATCGAGAGGACCTCAAACGGCCTAAATACAAGTTCCCTTCCCCTTACCCCTTCCACATATATGATCCCCTAACCTTCCTCATCAAACTGCCCAGGTGCGTCCTCGCTTATTCAAGCAAGCCAATCGCATCCTTCTACAGAACCAGGGGACACCTCGCCCTCTTGATACTACAAAGTCTGCCTCCCATCACTCTGGTTGTTCCCTCTGTTCCTGAGCACAACACTTGTGTGGCCCTGCCTGGTATGCAGTGTTCTCTTCCCCTGGGCTGTGAATATATGTGACTGATAAACTGCTGTTGATTTTGTCTGCCCAGTGTCAGGTGTCATGTATTCGGCCACCCCATAACAGTAGAGTGGGACCCTCTCCTCCTTCCTCACCAACAGGGTAAATACCAGGTGATTAAAACCCCATGTCAAGGAAAAATTAAACTGTCTGAACCCCAGCTAGGAGTTATCTTTATGAAGTTTTCTGTTCCCTGCTATCTATTACTCATGATTAGTCAGAAGTTTAGAGGATGAAAGAGGAAAGTGAAAGACAGATTCTTTTATGGTAAGAAAGAGGCAATGTCAAGTGTTTCTATTAGGTTATCATAACCAATGTTTTCTATTTTGTTATTTAATGCAGAAAAGTGGATTTTGAGGAAAAAAATCTCCAGACGGTATTTTCCCTTGTGAGTTATTGAAATGAGGGGATGGTAAAATCTTATCTTTAGATGTCACTTTTCTGAATTCTTAGGGGTAAACCCCGTGCCAAAATGACAACTCTAGCATCTGGACATGGTGCCTATTGGTGAAGGTTAATACTTCTGGATTTGTTGTATCACTGGCTCTGTTAGGAGGAAGAAAATTGATTCTGGTGAGCAATAGATTCCATGGTTCCATGGCTGGTGTCATACTTTCTGGTCAGGATATGGCTGTAAGAGAATGATAATGAGGAAATGAGGAATAGAAGGTAAATATGAATAGGAGGACAGGGCAGCCTATAATTCTAAAGTGTTATATATAAGATATGGCAATAGAGAACTGAATCTTTTTTGCATGTTTGTTTACAAACCTACCAGAACATGTGTATTCAAGTGATGATTTTTCTCTTGAAAGTAACTGCCTTTAGGGACCAGCCACTTATTCCAATTAGTCTGCAATTGTTTACCATGTTTTTGGTAACCTCTTTTGCAATTGTTTTCATAAATCATGGCACATATTTTTTAATAACCTTAATGGTGGTAGATAATCAAACTTTAAAAGTGGATTGGAACTAGATATCTTGAAAGGCTTCCTGCTTTAAAATACCTAGAATTGGTAATCAAAATAAAACAATTGCCTACAATATTCAGTACAGTACATGCTGTACAGGTTTGTAGTCTAGGAGCAATAAGCTATACCACAGAGTGAGGTAGGCGTGTAGTGGGCTATACCATCTAGGTTTGCATAAGTACACTCTGTCATATTCGTACAACTGTGAAATCGCCTAATGATGCATTTCTCAGTATATATCCCCCCATCGTTAAGCAACACATGACAGTATATTATGTGAATCTAATCTAGATTTTGTATTGCTTGGTTTAGACCTTAGAATGAATGGAAAATTTTCAAGGTTGATTTCTAAAAAAATAGTCTATAATGTTTGTATTAGATAATGTGAGCAACAACTTGCTACCACAATAGACAAATCCTGGCATTTCAGTGGCTTAAAACAATCGAGGTGTATTTCCTTCCCACCGCACACTTTGGTATAGTTCAATTTGGCCCTCCCACATGGCTCTCGTCTAAGAGTGACTCAGTAATGTAGTCTATTTCCATTTTGCATCTTAGTTATTGAGGGTATAGAAAATTCCTTCATAAAGATAAATATTTAATTCATGAGGAAGTAATATTTCTTCTAATTATGAATGTAGCTAATAAAATCGCTTCGAACTATGATGAGCAAAATTTGCTGGGATCAAAGGGAGAGATTAACAGACCCACTACAATTCTGTGAGATTTTATGATGCCATTTTCCATTATTGATAGAACAAGCATGCAAAAAACCTAGTAAAATTGGAGATAATTTGATCAAAACAGTGAATAATGTTGGTTTGATAGATACAAAAATACACACACACACACACACACACACACACATTCAGAAGCCTGCAGACAACAATTAGAAAATAGATATTTTCTTAAGGATAAATTGAATATTTATAAAAACTGACCATGTTTTATGCCATGAATTTCAATTATATAAGAATTACTGTTAGGAAGAAGTTCTCTATCCATAATACAACTAAATTAGCAGGTAATTAAATAATTGGAAAAAATCCTCATATTTTTAAAAATTAAAAAGTAAAACTACTTTTAAATAACTCTTGGGTCTAAGAAAGCTTAATGGAAAATTTTAAAGATGTATTTAGAATTGAATGATAGTGACCATACTACATACCACAACTCATGGAATGCAACAAGAGGAATACTTTGAAGAAAAACAGGATAAACCCCAAAAAATGTAGAAGGAAGGAAGTAGTAAAGATATGAACAGAAATTACTGAAATGGAAAGTGAGTATTCCAAAGAAGATCAAAACCAAAAGTTAGTCCAATTAAGAGATTAGAAATTGATAGTTCTCTAGAGAAATTGATTTTTAAAAAGTAGGTAGACACAAATAAATATTAGAAATGGTAAAGGAGAGAGACCAAGATGGCAACACAAAAGTCTTCTAAATCTATCTCCTCCCATGGATACACTAAATGTACAGCTATACATGGAGCAATTCCCTCTGTGAGAAATCCAGAGACTACCTGAGGGACCCCCACACATCAGGTGAATGAGAAAATACTCACATAAAAATGGGTAGGAAAGGCTGAGACACTCCCCATAAACTCCACCCTTGACACAGCACCATGGAATTTGCAAGGAACCCCCAACTCCCAGCTTCTCCCTGAGGAGTGAAGGGTTCAGACTGCACATCTAGCACCCCAAGTTTTAAGACTCCCATCCAAGGGAGTGACTTCTTAGTTTAGGGAAGAATTTCTGAAAGGAAGCACCAATTACACAAGAAAATGTTAAAAAGTTGACCACATTGCAATGAAAACTGTGTATATCAAAAGACATCATCATGATCACGAAAATGGAAGCCAAGACTGGGAGAAGACATTTGCACCACATATAATTGACAAATACTTTGTATTCAGATCATATACAATTTTCCAATAAATAAATGAAAAGCAGACTACCAAATAAAACATGAGCAAATATATGAAAGAAAATATGAATAACCAGCAAACATATGAAAGATGCCCATCATCAAACATCATTAGGGAAATGCAATCTAAATTCAAAGTGAGGTATTTCATGTACATCAGGGTGTTAACCTTTTCTAAAGTCTGAAAACAAGAACTCTCCTTCATTGCTATTATGAGTACAAAATTATATAATTTTTTCCAAGAACAATTTGACAATGTCTGTTAACGTTGACTGTCGTTTATTATGCTATTGTGCAGCTACTGTAGTCTTAAACTACAAATACGTGTATAAAGAAACATGTACATGGGTGATAGTTGTTACAGTTTGGAATAGGAAAATAGGGGGCACCCTAAATATTCAGCAATGGAAGGAAGTATCCATTTTGTTGTGGAATATGCAAACAATGAGATAGTATGTGGAGGTGAAATGACTGAATAAATAGCTATATGGAAAAAACAATGAGAGGAAGAAACTTGCGGAGGTGATGGATATGTTTCTGGCATAGGTTGTGGAGATGCTTTCATGGGTATATACTTATTTCCAAACTCCTCAGTGGTATACATTAAATAGGTGCAGGTTTTTGTATGTCAAACATACCTCTCTAAAGTGGTTTAAAAAAAACAACAAAAAACAAAAAAAGTAAGTTCTAGAAGGAAACATTATACTTACATGAAATTTAAAGAACTGTACAAAATAGACTTCTACGTTGTTTAGTGATGTATCTATATTAATATGCTGAAAAAAATGAAAGACATACATATGAAGATAAAGACAAAGTTAATGAGAGTGATTACTTTTCAAGTGGAAGGAGAACAAGCAAGCAGTGAGGAATACACACTAGTTTCTCTTTTTTTTGTAATACTTCTTATTCTCAATAGAGTGTGGACACGTACAACAGTGTTATTTATTTTCTCCATTTATATGTATGAAATATATCACAATACATAAAAAGTATGTTTTGAAATAGTTAAATGTCATTTGAGGCCAAGTTTGATGAATAACGAAGCCAAGACTTTTTGGATATAAATGATTAAAAATGAGGCAAGATTTTTTTGTGTGTGTGTGCCTGTTTCTTATAACCTGGCCCTGAAGCATTTCCTCAAAAATAGTTTTTGTAATACTTTCAGAAATGGCTATATCATTGTTATTTCTGTGCGTAGCTTCCCAAGGTGACTTCTTTGAAGGGGACAAGGCTCATCTGGGTGTGTAAGACGTCCAAGTTCTAGTTTATGTGTTTAAAAGCCCAGCCTCCTTTCTTTATTCCAACACCTTATATTGGAGATATTAATTCCGCAAGGGAAACTGGATAAATGTGGAAAATGCCTCCATGTCAGAGAACAGCCCATCAAATTATTCGAAGATTTTTTTTTTCTTGGAAATATTGAGATATACAGGGCTTCAAAGATAGACAAATCTTTGAAGAGACTTTTCTACTACATTTATATTTGACTAAAGCCTCACATGAGAACTATTTCATTTATCACTAGGCGCTAGATGAACCAGCCAAGACTGAAAGTGTCTCCAAGGACAACTCATTAGACCCACCTCTGGAGGTAATGACTTCAGATTACCCCTGCTTTTGAAACTCGATCCCGAAACTCATTGCTAACTCAGTACCTGGTTTCAATTCTTCCAGTTCTGTTTCCCTGCACAGCTCAGGCAGCAAACTGAAGAGCTCTGTGCTACCATTGATAAGGTCTTACGGGATTCCTTGTCTATGGTAATGCCTTAGACTAGAATGTGCAATTCAAACATTTGCTTGGCTTCTCTTCATTTCCCTCTACTTGAGTATGAGGCATCACAGGCTTGTCCTTTTTTTATTTTCCAGCATTCTTCTGATTCTCCTTCAAGATCCCGACAGACATTGTTGGGTTCTGACACAATCAAAGTATGTATATATTTAATATAATTTACTGAACCATAAGACTTTCTAGATCAGTGAGTTTTAAACTGCAGGTCAAGGCCCAATAGTGAATTAGGAAATTAATTAAGAGGATAGCAACCAGCATTTTGTTGTTGTTGTTGTTAGCAAATGTTTTTTTAAAAAAGAATAGTAAGAATGTAAAATATCAGACTATTCTAAGTAGTGAGTAGGTATTGTTGGCATTTTTTTCCATGTACATGTTTAAATATGTGTGTACAAGGTTGCAAAATCAAATCTATTTCTAACTGTGGGTCAAGTTCCAAACAATTTGAAAGCCAATGTGTTAGACTTTGTTGTTATATGTTGGCATTTTAAGAAGCTATATGGGACTGCCCATAGAATTTGTGCCTTCTTCTCATCTCAAATCATAGCTTCAGTACGTATGTAATTCACAGAAGTGGAAAATGAAGTAGACTAAAGCAACATTAGTCTAAGAGCTTTAACAAAGGTATTTTTTCTGGAATTTTTTTTCTTTTGGTTGGCTGAATTTATTTCACTGTTCTTTGACTCAGAGGAACAGACACCTGGATATTTTAGTTAGAGTACTACTAAAGCATTAATTGTTATAACTGAATAATAAATATTTCCTTCTTAAAATGTAGCCATTTTCATTTGTTGGGATAAAATGCTACATTTCTCCATATTACTTGTTTGGAATGCTTAGTACAGATCTACTTATCCATATTTCAAAACAGTTGTGGTTTTTCTTGTATTGATAATTGTTAGGTTTTTTTTGTCAGCCTTATTTTCGCTCTTGGAATTAATATAAATACTTCTTGTATGTTCTTTTAAAAAATTGGAGATTGTGTGTATGAAGTACGTTTTAAATGTACAGAATTGCTTATGACTAGAAGACTATTCCTAATTTTCAGTTGGAACATTATAGACAAATATACGTTAATAATGACATGGAAACACAGTAACCAATCGTTGTCAGTATTAAGAAATTATATTTTAGTAGAGAGGACCTACAAATGGATAATTGTAGTTTCTGTATTTGTAATCTATTTCATTGTATATCTTTTACGTCTTTTAAGTTAAAAATATAAAACTTTGATTTGCCAAAGGGATACTATATAAATTTCAAAATATATTTTTTCTTATTTCATTTGTTGAGCATATAAAAATGCTATATATTATATTAAATATAATAGGAATAGGATTTAAGAGGTAATATGTGAATAATTATATTATTGATTTAACAAATATTTAATGCTTATAGTGTTAAAAATACATTATTCTAGGCCACTAAATTTAGGCAATTATTTCATTCAATAAATATTTATTAAGTGCCCACTGTGGGCTTGGTGCTGTGGGGCACTAGGGAGAGAATGGTGAGCATGCCAGAGTAACCTAAGAGGCATACTGCAGATGTAGTGGCCCGAAAGTAGAATTCAAGCTGAGACCAAAGATGGAAAGAAGCCAGCCATAGAAAGAAGAGGGGTAATAGCTTTCAGGCAGAGAAGTAGGCATGTGCAAATTTCCTGAGGCAGGAAATAGCTTAGTGTGGATGAAGGTCAAGGCCAGTGTGGTCGCGGTAGAGTGCGCCAGGAGTGAACCGTGTAAAATGAGGTTGATAAGGTGGGCTAAGGACAGTGATTTAGATACTTATAAGCCATGGCATGAGGTTTGGATTCCAAGGAAAAGGGGAAGATGTAAAAATATTGGGGGGAATGATAGGAAACTACTGAAAAAGCTCATGATGGCTGCTGTGAGGAGGCTACTGAGGTCAGAGGGGCAGTCAGTGATGGTGGCCTGGACCAGGTACGTTCAGGGGAGCTAGAGAGAAGCATGTGGGTTTGAGAGAGATATTTCAGGCTTGCTGGGAGTTTGGATGTGAGTAACGAAGGAGAGAAGAATTATGGATTCATGGATGACCCCCAGGTCTCTGCCTTGAGCATAGACAACTGTGAAGGAGGCGCAGTGAGGGTTACGTTCATTTTGGACAGGATGAGTTTGAGGTGTGTATCAAGGATGCCTTAAACCTGTGTGTCTGGAGCTAGTAGGAGAGATCTGGGGATGACAGACATACCGAGTGCCCTGTACAGAGCTCCAAGGAACAAAACATTGCAATTCCATTAAAGGAGATAGGGGGGAGCCAGCAAAGGAGAATGAAAAGTCCATTGTGGTAAGAGGAAAATCTGAGCAGTGTGGTATCATGGAAGCTCCAAGAGGAGAGTGTTTAAGAAAATAAAATGGTGGTGACTGCTGCCAAGAGGAAGAGAAAGAGAAGGCTAGAGAAGTGTTTATTGGGTTTGACTTATATATTTTGAAACTATATTGCTGTTGCTTATGTGTTGGTGTTCCTTCTCATCTTTTTGATTTTTATAACCTTTCATTACATACATAATCCTTTTGAACCTAAGGTTGTTCTTTTTAGTCTAGAATGAAAATAATGTCTTTATATAAGTAATATATATGCAATTTATAATACGTTTTTCTAGATATATCTTTTATTACTTTTTTCTATTACTTTTTAAATATTTTCCATTACTTTATTTTTCTATCACTTTTTTGCTATTTTCTATTACTTTATTTTTTATCTTTTTATACTCTCTTGTCTAATTTTTTCAGGACAACGTATTTCTGGATGTCACTTTTATATCTGATCTGAGATTTTGTTTATCTGGGACCTTAAGCTATTTACAAATACTGTAATTCTTGTTATGTTAGGACTAATTTCTGCTATCTTATTTTAAATTTTCTATTTAAAATGTTTTCTTTTTTGCTTTTCCTGCTTTCCTTTGGATATTTTCACATTTACTGGTTTGAAAATTTTGAAAATTTTATGTTATATTTTTGTTACTTTTTGTAGTTACACAAATTATTAGAGACAATAATTATGTTTATTTTCCTATCAATTTTAAAGCTTACAAATATCTTTTTACAAAATTAGGTAAGTACTATAGCACTTTTCACTTTCCACTTGTTTTTAATCAAGATATATATGTGTATATACACACCGCCCCCCATATATATACATATATACAGATATAATTTGTTAGTATTTCTTGGACTTCTATTTCTGAATTTTTATGGTTATATTTTTCTTGGTCTCTTCTTTATTTAGACACTTATTCTTTATTTAGATCCTTATTTCTCACACATTCATAGTTTTCTCCTGGGTTTACTTTTCTTCTTTTTGGAATCCTGCTGATAATTGTATTCAACGAGGTCATTTGTGTTGATTTTATGGCCTACGTCTCGGAGAATATCTTTATTTTGCTCTTTCATATAAATTATAGTTTTGCTGGACGTAAAATTATAGGTCCTCTCTCTTCAACACGTTTTTCCCCTGGGTTCTTTTTCTTCAACAACATACTTGTGAAGTATTTTGTCAGCATAATATTTACTCCTCTGCTACAGAGCGGTCATTTACAGAATGGCTCTGTAATCTTTTGGAATTCTGTCTTTATCTTTGATGTTACTGATTTTTCCTATAAGCTGTCTAGGTGTGTATTTTTTTTTTTTCTCTTATGTGTCTGGATTGGTACTCTCTGTGACATTTCATCTGAAATCCTCGATCTTTTCTTCCCCTTGCATTCAGGATAATTTTTAATCATTATTCTTTCAAACACTTCTTTCCTCCTGGAACTCTTATAGTATTGATTTTGTCACTTTTGCTTCTGTATTCCATCTCTCTTTATCTCTCTATCGTTTTTTTCTATTTATTGCTCCCTAATTCCTTCAAGAGGATTTCTTGATCTGATATTCCAGTTCAAGAATTTGTTCCGTATCTAGTCTGTTCTTCAATCCCTATGTTAAGTTCTTTATTGTTGCTTATATAGTTTTCTTTTAAAGTCAAGTTCATTGAGGTATAATTTACCCACTGTAAAATTCACCCTTTTAGTGTACAGTTCAATGAGTTTTGACAAAGCATTCAGTTATGTAACACCACCACATCCAATATGCAAAACACTTCCAGCAAATGAAAAAGTTCCTTTGTGCGCCTTTGTAGTATATCCCTCCCTCCAACCCAAGTTATGGGCAACCTCTGATCTTTCCTCTGTCCTTATACTTTTGCTGTTTCAAGAATGTCAGATAAACACAATCATATAGTTTGTAGTCTTTAGAGTCTAACTTTTTATGCTTAGTAGAAGGCAGTTGAGATTCATCCATATTTTTGCGTGTATGAATAGTTAATTTCTTTTTCTTGCCGAGTAGTATTCCATTGTGTGGTTGTACCATACATTAACTGTTTACTAGTTGATGGACAATTGGGTTATTTCCAATTTGGGGCTATTACTAACAGAGCTGCTAAGAATATTTGTTAACAAGATTTTGTACGGACATATGCTTTCATTTCTCTTGGGTCAATACCTAGGAGTGCAATGGCTGGACCATTGTTTTCCTTTACAGTATTTACATTTTTCGAGTGTTTTACTATTTTTCCATGGAAACTCAAAGTTACCTGGGCATATCTTCTAGCTTGGCTGTATGTATGCCTGATGCCTGCGGTGGCAGATACTAAGGCCTAGATCTGCAATTTGCCAAACCTGGTGAGTCTGGGTTATTTTCTTTCTTAAGAGCAGGAGGAGCATGTACCTCAGGATGTAGAAACTCCGTTATATCAAGCATATCCCTCTTGCCACTTCCTCCCCACCCCAGTGACACTGACCCTCACGTTGGCCTCCCTGCGCCTCTGCTTGTGGTACCCCACACTTCTCTTCTCCTATAGCTGTCCCAGTTGTGATCACCAAGGAAGGGATCAGGAAAGGGACTCACCAGAAGCTGGCCTGTTGTCCAAACCTATAGTTAACAGTTCCCTTCTCCCTACCAGGCTGAAGGACCACCTTGATGGCTCCTTATAGATACTTCTTCTCACCATCCTTAAATTTTACTCCCTTATACTCCCCCTTTGCTCTCCTCATCTCTGATGTTGAAAAGCATTGTGAGGTGAGAAAGCAGAAGCAGAGTATGTAAAACAAACAAACAAACAAAAACAGCTACTTTCAAGTGTTGGGCTATGAAAAGAAGAAGGAAATTGGGTCATAGTGGAGTCAAGGAAGAATTTTTTGTCTGCTTTTTAAAGCTGAGAATAATAAGAGCAAGTTGATATGCTAGTGGGGTTGATTCAGTGAGAAGGAAGTGCTGATTATACAAAAGAAAAAGTGACCCTGAAGGACAAAAGTCCTTTAGAAGGGCACAGAACCTAGAGCCTAATTCAAATAGGTAACTTTTCACTAAAAGCTGGAAACGTCCTCCCTTGTAACAGAACAGAAAATAGAGGAAATGACAGGTGCAGGTGCAAGTATGGTAGTAGGTTGATGGTGGGAAAATGAAGCTTTTTATAACTAATATCTTTAGTTATTTTGTGACTAACACCTTTCAGTGAAGAAAGTTTTAAGATTATTAATGAGATTAAAGAGGGATGATATGATGGGGAAGAGTTTGAAAAAAAATTATGTATTCAACTTTCAATAATTCTTCTCCCATTCCCTCCTAAATCCCTTCCATTCAGGCTTCAGTGCTCACCACACTGCCTGAACCACTTTGTCCAAGGCTCCTGAAGTCCTCCCCAGTGCTATAAGCTCAGTCCTGATCTGAGCTGACATAGCAACAGAATTGTAGACAGGTGAGCCCTCCTTCCTCTTTGATACACATTCCTCTAGTGCCTTCCAGGACACCGTGCTCTCTCAGTGTTTCGCCTACCTCACTAGTCATTATTATTTCTTAGTCTCCTTTGCTGATCCATCCTCTTCTTCCCAAACTATTAATGTTGGGGTGCCCTAGAGCTCAGTCCTTGGACTTCTCATTTCTCTCTCTATTCATTCCTTTGGTGTTCTCACTCAGTCTCATGCTTTGAAAACCAAGAATATGCTGACAACTCTCAAATTTATAACTCTAGCCCAGGATTCTCTCCCAGACTCCAGTCTCCCAAATACCTACTCTTCATTCCCATTTAAATTTCTAATAAATATCTTCAAAATAAAACCTAGATCTCTTCCCATAAAGACTATTCCACATCCTGCTTTCTCATCTTCATTGATAGAATTCCAATTTTCATTTACTCAAGGCCAGAAACTTTGGTGTCAAGTTTTATTCCTCTCTTTCTCTCACATTCTACATCTCTTCTATTAGAAATCCTGTTGCTGTAGATTCAAAGTATATGTAGAATATACTACGTCATTCCCTCTGTACTACTTAGCCATCATCATGTTTTGCTGGTTAGTGTAATAGCCTTTTCCCTGTATCCTTGCTTCACTATAATCCATTCTGAGTACATCAAACAGAGAGATCCTTTTAAAGCACAAGTTGGATTATGATCCTTCTCTGCTTAAAACCAGCGGTGCCGGGCCGGCCCCGTGGCTTAGCGGTTAAGTGCGTGCGCTCCTCTACTGACGGCCCGGGTTTGGATCCCAGACACGCACTGACGCACCGCTGCTCCGGCCATGCTGAGGCCGCGTCCCACATACAGCAACTAGAAGGATGTGCAACTATGACATACAATGATCTACTGGGGCTTTGGGGAAAAAAAAAAAGGCGGGGGAGGATTGGCCATAGATGTTAGCTCAGAGCCGGTCTTCCTCAGCAAAAAGAGGAGGATTAGCATGGATGTTAGCTCAGGGCTGATCTTCCTCACAAAAAAACAAAACAAAACAAAACAAAAAAACAGCAGTGCCTACACACGTCCCTCAGATGTAAGCCAAAGTCCTTACCAGCTCCTGGAAGGGACTCTGTGATCTGGCCTTCCAACACTTCAATGAGCTGTTCTCCTTCTCTCTCCTTTCCTCACTCCACTCTAGCCCTGCTCGCCTCCTTGCTCAGCCTTGGATGTGCCAGGCATGCTCCTGCCTTAGCACAGTTAGTTCCTTTTCAAATCAGTTGTATCACTTTTTATGGTATCTAGTTCCCTGTAAAAATTTGAAAGCTTAACTTTTATCTCAAAAAATATTGTTAATTATGGTTTTTTTTCAGTCTGGTTCTAAGAAAACAAATTTCTGGATTTTCTGTGGGATGTTTTTGGTTGTTTATTATTGCTGCTCATTCTCACTCGCACTGTCTTACCTTTTTGTGTCTCTCAATCTGATTGTGTGTTGGATATTCTACTTGAAAATTTATTTATAGAAATTATTTGAGGGGCCAGCCCGGTGGCATAGTGGTTAAGTTCACATGCTCAGCTTTGGCGGCCCGGCATTCGTAAGTTTGGATCCTGGGCATGGACCTACACACTGCTCATCAAGCCATGCTGTGGCGGCATCCCACATGAAAATAGAGGAAGATTGGCATGGATATTAGCTCAGGGACAATCTTCCTCAAGCAAAAAAAAAAAAAAAAGAAAGAAAGAAATTATTTGAGGCCTCAGATGGTGTTGTCTTCCTGTAAAGAATCTTTTCTTTGCTTCTGTCAGACACCAGGAACACTAGCAAAGAAGGATTACCTTAATTTAATCTAAGGTTTTGAGATGATTTCTTTTTCTAAACAATCATTCTTCTCTGGATCACTCTTACTCCTGGAGATGAATCTATTCTTGGCAGGTCCTGAACTCTGACTTTTATCTTCCTACACCTCTGAGAATCTCAGAAGTTTGGATTAGCTTCTCAAGCAACTCATCGTGATTTGAAAACATCCTTAGAGCAAAAGCAAGTCTCAAATGCTTGACTCTTCTCTCTGGAGTCCCATCCTCTCCTGATCTTGCCCCCGAATTCTTCACTGTCTTAGTAGCTCATCATTTTATTTTCAATAAAATATTTTCCAATATTTTGCTCACCTTTTGTATTGTCTATTATGGAAAGATTGCCTTGAGTTTTTTAGCCACCATTTTTAGAGGTGAAAATTCACCTTAAGAACTTTGCATCTGTGCCATCTTGTTGGAATGCTCTTCATCTAGATATCCACTAGCCAACTCCCTCACTTCCTGTAAATCTTTGCTCAAACGTAACCTTTGCTAGATTGACCATCCTGCTTAAAATCATAAGCCCTCGGCACTCTTTACCTCCTTAACATCTGGATGGTCCAAAAAACATATAAGGTAGAAGCAATAAAGATGTTCTCTCAAGAATATATTACCCTAGGCTTCAGATCATTTCTACTCTTCCTTTTCCTTGTATTTATCACCTTCTAATTTATGATGTAATTACATATTGATTATTTTGTTATTCGTTTTCTCTCCTGCTGAAATGTAAGCTCCCCAAGGGCTGGACGTCTTTGTCTTTTTTGTTCACTGATAAGTCTGAAGGGTGTAGAACAGTTCCTGGCACACATTAGATACACAATAAATATTTGTTGAATAGGCAAATGAATCAAATAGCCATCTCATCTCAGAGGGTGGGAAAATGGGCCTACGAGAGAAAAATTGGGGGCTTACCAGGCAGTATTGAATGCCCATTTGAAGCTAATAATCATTAATTTATAATTAAATCAGTTAGCTTGGCTGAGAGAGTTTCCCCAGCAATGTTTTGCTTCTCAAGTACAAGTTTAGAGAAAATGGATGATAAGATCCATTCAGGGTAGTTTTTTTGTTTTTGATTTTTTTTCAGGCGAGTTTGTCACAAGGAGAGAGGGAGGCAAGAGAAATTAAGATATGAAAATGACTGAGACTATGAAATATACATAAGCTGAGGTAATACAGCCAGAATGGAGCTGGTAAGGGTCAATGATTTCGAAGTCTCAATGAGGCTGAGGAAATGTTGCATTGGGGATATTTGAGAAATGAAGATGGTGCCCATGAAGTAGAGTTCTGAGAGTAGAATGTTAGAAATTGAAATTTCAGAGGTTTTCCATTTTATTTGTGAAGGCAAGGTCTAGGAATGCTGCTGGGAGTGGACGACTGAAATGGAGTGGATGAGAATATCTTTGGAGTTGAGCAGCTCAAAGAATTGAGAGGAGAGAGACTTCTATGTGAATTTTGAAATAGCCAAAAAGTATGTAAGGAACTATTATGACCCATAAATGAACATTATCAGTAAGTAAGGGAAAATTTACCAGAAAGTTGATAGATAACAGCAATGAAAAGAATAATAAAGTGATGTAGTTTAATGAAATAATTTTCAGAGGAATAGGAATTTTGTATAGAAAAGAGGGAGTAATGGTTAGAAAGTCTTGATAGGAAAAAAAGGTGAACATTTATCCCAGAAATTGAATCCTTCAGTATTTTATTGATTACTTCAGTAGTATAATTATTTTTATTTTCATACAGACGCCTACAACTCTTCCAAGAGCAGCTGGTCGAGAAACCAAATATGTAAGTCCTTTCATAATTACATGCTGCTTTTTTCATGGGTGCTTGTGTATGCTTTGGAGGGAACTCAACTATACAGTCATTTAAATTGAATTAGTTGATTTTTTCATAAGTGGAAAGGGGTAGGATGGTGTGATTGACCCAGATGTGGAAAATCATGTTATATCAGGTAAGTTTATTGAATAAATTCCTTCCTAAGTGACGTCTAGTTTGATTAGTTTGGCTTAATAAAACAGAACTCCACCACCTGCTCTCTGTCTTTCTAATTATCGAAGCTTAGATGACATTTTCATTTCTGTAATGGTTTATTGTGTTTGTTATACAACAATCAACTCATATACTGGAAACATTGATGTGTCCATTTCCAATGAGATTATCAGTTGAGTTGATTTTTGACTAGTTTGTTGCTTTCTTGCATTTAAATTATTATCCAATAAACCAATTTTCATTTATGAGCAAAAATAGGTTAATAACGGATACGTAGATACAGACTCTTACACTTGATTCCACTAATTATGGGGAGCTGCCTCTGAATGTCCTAGACACACACACACATAGCCCTACCCAATTCCTACTCTTTATTCACCTAATAATCCATCATGTGGCCAACTTCTGCTTCTGACCAAATATAGTCTAGTTGAAACAAGGTTATCTCCTAAGCAAGTGTTTAGTTTTTAGTTTAAAACAAACCAGTAAACTATTCCTTTTAGATTATACTTCGTATTTCTGATATGCAGTTTTCATCATCATCAAGAGTAAATAATTATTGCATGTATATTTTGTGACATATCTTTTTCACAATTTACACATTTCTGCCTTCATTTGAATCTTCCTTAGGCAAATGACAAACTGGGTGAAGTTACCGAATTTTATCACATTCAGGAAATGATGTTTAGAGGGTATGGGTAGGAATACAGCTTAGAGCATTTCCTAGAACCTTTCACTGTTATTTTTTGTTATTATTGGAAGCCATTTGGAGTTATACTTAAAAGAGTGGAGGCATTTAGTAGGCTATACTCAAGTTTACATCGTAGTCTTGCTACTTGCTGACTGTCTGATCTTGGAAAATCACATAGCCTCTCTGTCCCTTAGTTTTTTCATATACAAAATTGAGATGCTAATGACCTTCTTATTTGGTTGATGTAAGATTTGTATTGGTTACTGTATGAAAAGTCCTCATTGTAGTCTTGAAACACAGGAATCACTCAATAAATAATTGTTCTTCCCTTTCTTCCTCTTTTTTTTCCTTTCTTTTCCCTTCATCCCTGCCTCTTCCCTTCTCTTGCTCCTACCTGTCTTGGGAAGACTAGAAGCACCATGATTTAGCTGAGTTCCTTGATTCTTCATTTGGTTACAGAAAAGAAAGTGCCATGAAGATATTTCTCTAATTTTTGTGACTAATATATTCTATAAGAGCCAGACCCAAGAAGAAGTAGCTAGAAATTTTTGCTCTCTCACCTTCTGCCTTTCATCAAAGTGCCTCTGAGTTAGATTCATTTATAATAAGGTGCAGACAGCTGATGCCTCCTCCCACCCCTCCCTGGGGGTGGTTAATTTGATAGCAACTGGAATAATTCTGGAGGGGCTGTTTCAATCTCCATAGTTAGAGGTTATTTCAAATTAGTCTTCAATCAGTTATCAGACTTAATTAAAGTAGGTTAACATTTGCTCCAAACTTTGTGAAAGCATTTGAGTCATTCAAAGTTAACATTGAATCATCAAACAGATTTAGTATAGACTTGAACAAATATAAACTCTGATTCAGGTAAGATTCTTGACTTTAATTAAATTTGGTTTCTTGAGTGAGAAGCTCTGTTTTTTACTTTCTCTTACAACATGATGTTTGAATTGTTGTTTGTGACACTTCAAATATGTCCATGTGTTTTGGAAGACTGTAAGGGATAATTTTACGGTAGAAGGTAAAAACCAGTTCTTTGGTGCCAACTCATAGATAAGTCACACATGTAAATATTGGGCTACAGTTATGCCATTTACTAAATAATATCTATGTTAATTTTGAAGAAAAAAAATGAAATTTTAGAGCAGAATTGTGCCTTAGCTATAAGCCTTGATCTTATGTGAACATTCTATCTTAAATACAATATGTTCTGATTTTTAAAAAGAATGACATTGTCGTATTTTCTTCTAGAAATTCTAATATTCATCTTGGCTAAGCTACGAGATACCTCACATTGTGTTGGTTGAATAGCTTTCACTCAATTAATTAATTAATCTCTTATTATATTTTTCACCCTTCCTCTCCCACGGAAACTCAAGAGCATATCTGAGAAGTCTACAGACTTTAACATTTCAATATTCCACCATCTCTCTTCAAAACTTTGAAGGAATAGGCATCTTCACAGCGTGTACCTGCTGGGACTCAGTGTGTTATTGACTTTGTAGAGATTCTTAGATTAGATTCAAAAGCATGGATCATGCAGTTTACCTTCTCCTACACCACAGAGGAATAAAGGGAAGACTTAAATTAGAGCCAAGAAAAAAGAATTTTGTTACACTTGAGGATATCCTTAATAGATTACCACAGACCACCCAAAATCTCTATTTCTGGGGGCTCTTTAAAAGTATAGTATATAATCCATGAATCGTGACTAATAGAAAATGTAGTCAGTATTTTCTAGCTCTATTATTCAATTTTCCACTTTTGTTCATTGATTTGACAAATATTTATTGAGTGTCTGCTATGTCCCAATACTTATGAGGAGTCACTGGGTGAGAGGCATGAACCCAACAGCGAGCTCTCCATTTCTGAAGCATACAATAGGAGAGACAGAAAACAATTAAAACAGTAAATGAGCATGATACTTTCTTGTAGAAACTAGAGGAGAGCTGGCCAGAAAACTTATTGATGTTAAAACAAACTTACCGTGTTGCTAGTTTTCAATGTATCAGTACGTCCATTGGGTTTCCAATTATCCTGGGATGATTAGAATGGTTTAATTAAATAATGAGAAATTGTATGACTAATTCCTCTTTATGGGACCTTTGGTGAAATGCTTACTTTTCTCCATTGAAAAAAAAAAAAAAGAAAATCAAAGTGAAACAATTAGTCTCCTTTTCTTGTTCTTTATTGCACATATTGTCACATTTCACATAGTCTCTTTTTTTAGGATGAGCCAGATGCAGTAGAAGTACCATCAATTCAGACTAATTAAATTTTCTTCAATTCATGGTGTATTTGAATTGCAGGTTATTTTAAAGTAATTTAACTGAGGTTCTCTTAAGTGTAATAGAATTTAAATTAGGCTAACAACACGTTGAGTAGTAGTAATCTCCACAGGTCACTTGCAGGGTTGATTATATTAATTTATTATCAATATTTCGCTTGATTGTTTTTAACAGATGCCAAATTTAACAATAATAATAACTAATGTTTTGAATTCTTACCTTGCAAATGAGGTTTAACTATCTGATTTAACCTTATGCCAATTCTATAAAGTGGATATTATCGTTATTACAAAATCTCCATTTTACAGAGGAGGAAACCAAGTCTCAGAAGTCACAGAGCAGGCAAATCCAACCCACGTCTTTCTCATGTCGAAGCCTCTGCCATTAATACTTCTGTGGACCTACAGAAGCTGGGAATAGTTTGTCTTCCTTAAATATTTTGTTGATTAGTATTTATCCTCTCGGTCTAAATTACTTCTTCATGCCCAATAACCTTCAGTCTAAACTTTGAATGAATAATCTCATATTTGGTGACAGCATCTAAAATGTTAATGTTTGACTATATTTCTAATGTTTTAAATCACTCGCTTATATGTAAAGGAACTCATAATTTATCAGATAATGTATGAGTGATTGTTTCTCATGACCCTCATTTTTAAAGAGTTTCTTTCCCCCTATGTAAAGGAATGAATGTTCTATTTAAATTTCTATTTCATTCTGTTTTCACCCTGTCATCTTTGAAGGGAAATGCCATTTTTTTCTTTGCATTACACTTGGTGAATATTTATTATTTTTCATTAACTACTACCAGTTTAAATTCATTTCATTCGTGTAATTCAAAACCATAGTGTGCTTCCTTAAGAAAGAGCAAGCTCAGAAAATAGGGCAAGTATTTGGACCTATCACTAATTTATCAAAAAGCCCTTATTTGGAATCACATTGGATTGATAACAACTAGTTTCATAAACTCTCGACATTTCAAGAGTTACTTTTAAGTGCCAGAGAAATAACAGAGACAAGCTTATTGACTATTGCATAGTATACAGATAAGATCTCATTTTAATGAGGTTGAGGGACCGAAAAATGTCATTGCAATGAAGCATATTGCTTTCAAAATATCACAATATATTAAAAAATGTGTCAAACTTTATTAAGAATATTTCCTGCTATATATACAGATATTCAAACAAAGGTCATCCTCTCCTATTTAGCCAGCTCACACACTCTTCTGGTTGCTATGCTTGGAAATGTTGCTATGCTGAAGTGTTTCAGAGGCCATGTGCACTAATGTAGTCACAGATCTTAAGGTAAGAGGTGACTTAAATTCCATCCACTTATAATCCCGTCCTGGGTCCAGATATGCTTCCATAGGATGCGACCAGAGATTTGATGAGTTACAGGAAGAGTGGTGAACAATTTAAGCAAGACATTCCATTCCACTAATTACTCTTCACTTAGCTCTTTTTTTCGTAAAATATTTTGTTCATAAATATTTCCAAGGTATGCTCCTGTGAAAGGGGATGAGGCGAGAATGGAAGATAATTATCTGAGTTCTGCTAAATGAGGAGAAAGAGAAAAAATTTAATGAGACACCTTTATACGTTATATCTTTTTCATCATTTTAGACTTTATCAAACACGAAGGTGCCATATTGCAGCCAAACTTCCCCTTGATCTCATCCTTTGTTTCCTCATTTGCACATATAAACTATGGCTGTCACTGGTCACTATGCCCACTTACTCTGCCTACCAATTATGTTCATGGCAAGACGGAATCATTCCCTAGCTTAAAGAGTCAAACTTTTTAAATACCTCCAAATCTACTTTTTATATTTAGGTCTTTTGGGAATATATTACTAACTTGTAAAATGGCTTTTAATGAGATATTCATACAGGGTAAGGTGTATAGATAGATAGTTAAACAGTGTGAAGCAAGAAACATGATGCCTCATGATAGATCTCTATGGCCTTGATGTCTAACATTCTTACCATTGGATTCATTCTTTTGATTAGTGCCTTATGTACAAATAACAGGAATACTCTCTAGGTTAAGAGTAAGTCAATGTCTTATCATTTTATAATTTATATTTCCTGAATTCTAAGCTCGGCACTTGGCAATTGCTAGGTGCTCAGTTAATATTTTAAGTTTTGCCTTTCTTCCTCTCTATAGATCAGTCTTGCCTCGGAGAAATAACATAATTCAGTTAACACATTATCACTAATTAGAGTTCTTTGAGCCTTGAGAAAAGAAACCTCAGGATAATTAGAGTCAACAGAGAAAAGGTAGAAGAGAGACATTTTATTGATATGGAACCAGATGTTACATTCAGGTGGGAGGGATGTGACTGCTGAAAGGAACAGACGTGCTGCAAGTGGAAGTATAGAGTGCAGAATGCAAAAGCAACTTCTTTTCAACACCTTTTATCTGATGCAACTTGATTTTGTCCCAATCCCCCAAGAGGATGTCTGCTAGCGTGAAGCCTGTCCAAAGGACACGTGTCAAGAATGGGGAAAAACTGCATTGCGAGGAAAAGCAGCTCTAGGCAATGACTAAGGAGTTTGGTTGTACTTTATGTGCCTCTGCATCAAGTCTTTGGAGGAGGAAAATGGTTTCTCCAAAGCTGGCTTGGCACAAGTGGTGGCCTTGTGTAGTAATTTATTTTTTAGTGGATTTCAAATCCTCATTTCTTTTCTTAGTCTTCAACTCTTTTACTTTCCATGTAACCTAACCCTTTAATAGATCTTCTTTGAAGTAAGGAATTTTGACTTTTATAAGTTTTTGACTGCTCTGTTAGTTTTTAAGTTTTTTGTATGATGATATACTAGTTAAAATGCCCTCTCTCTCTCTCTCTCTCACTTTGGTGATTAAAATGACGTCAAAGGCTGTAGAATGTAGATTATGGGATTTGTTTCACAAAGAGCCATTCTTACACCCATCTCTAATGTTGTTCTTTAGTTAAGGTTAATGTGGATAGACACGAACGACTGAAAACTTCAGTGTTCAAATCCGATTTTGAGTTTATTTTTTTGCACCTCAAATTGCTTCCCTGCCTTAGTTTAATTGATCAATTGGCAGTTGTTCAAATAGTAGCCTTGTCCCACCGCTCACTGCTTCAGTCTCAGCTAACCAAATAATCTTCCCTCACGTTTTGGAAAATAATTAATACAATATTGATAACATAACTCTAGGTACAGCATGTAATAATCACATTAACTTGTATTAGGCAAGCACACAGGGACTTCTTAAAGGGTTTGACACGATTGGGTTGGTTGAAAGAATCTAGTTATCTTTGTGATAATACACATAAGCCAATACTCTTTTTCTTTCGTAAAGCAAATCTGCAGTGGCTTCATAAATATCGACTCCACCCTGAGGTTTAGCATGTAATTTTGTCCTTTCTCTGGGAATGGTTTCTCGTAATAGTGATATGAAGTCCATTATATTAGATGAAATAAAAATGTACTGAGGAAGTCTAAGGCATCTTATTGTTTTATCATAATTCCCACCGAAAGAATTTTTGGGACTTATGGAGACTGGATACAAAGATATTGGAGTTTTCCCCTAATTTAATTAATGTATTTGCTTGAGCATTTTATCTTTTTTCCCTATAATAATTTGATATTATTTAGCACAATGTACTGATAAATATTAGTAATGTAGTTAAATTGTGCAAATACTTTATTTTTAATGTGTAACCTCTTCTTTCCTATAATTATTGAGATAAAAATTTAAGTATGCTTTTTGTTTCAATTAAGATACATTTCATTCAACATATTTCATAGAAGCTGGTAATTTAACTTAGGGAATTTGTAGAGAATTCTCTCATTGCAATAATGAAAATTAATTAAAGGGGAAAAAAACAAAGATTTTAGAAGAAATCATTATTATGCATATTACATTTTAAGATTAAATATGAAACCCTAGGTGAATTGGAAAAACATTGTGATGGACATTCTGAAGGGCAATTTTCTGCAGCACAGAATAGCCATAAACCTCAGTGCGCACTAACCTGGTACCCAGCAATTAGCGATGGGGAGCACTTAGCCAGGACACCCCACTGCCATCGAGCAGGCAGTGCAGGCCTTGTGAAGAATGGCATGAAGCAAAAAGCAGAAAAAAAACAATGCTGGACACAGTGTGAGAAGGACTGCAGGTGCCTCATCAGTATGTTTGGTCATTCACACTCCCGTGTACTTGGCAATACCATAAGACCCACTAAGCTTTCAGTTTTCAGTTAATATTCACCTCTCAGAGAGTAAAAACCATATTGACAAATTTATAATAAACCCGGAAAATATTTGCAATTTCAAAAAAATAGAAATAATTTAGGAATACAACTTTATCATATTTTAGCCAAGCATATTTACAATTGTGCATCTGTATGTTGACCACTTCCCGTCAAAGTTGACAGCTGAACAGACGTGGATGCTCAGCCTCCTATTTAAATGCAGAAATGCTTGATAAAACATAACTATTAAAAATACGTATGTAACCCAACCTAAAAGAAGGGAAGAGAAACTTCCGAGTGCCAGAAATGAAATGGGAGCTCCCAGTGGGAGTGTTAAGATGCAGCTAACGCTCTGGCGGAACCTGGGTACATCAGAACATAGGTGCTAGGAGCCAGGAGCTTAGATTTTAACTTTCACTGTATAATGAGTCTAAGATTTGTAAATGAGTCTTTCGTGTCCATTCAGGAGCTGAGAAGGCCACATTGGCCGTGATGCATGGGATAGAAAGAAGATAAATCCTTCCACTATCTCCACCATACACTTTTGGGTGGTAAACAAGTCATTCATGAGAAAATGGGTCCTACACCTGTGAAACTTGAAGATGTGGGGATCTGCTATCCTTGAGGTTTAGAAATATCAGGGTTATGAGATAAAATAGAAACTGGTCCAGAACCTGTGAAACTCCTAGGGCCCCCACAAGGGGAAACACGAAATGTATTGTAGGAATGTTTTCCCAACTCAGGGCTTCTCAGACACCTACAGAAGTCATCACCAAAGTAACCCTGACTGGAGATGAGCTCAAAATCAATTATAAAAAGCCATAAAATGAGTAAAGAACCTCATGGGGGTGAGGCATTTCAACAGGAAATTTAGCAATAAGAGATTATGAGAAAAATCTGGAATTAATTTATAAATATATTAAAAATGTTGAAATAGTTAAAAGAGTTATAGATATCATAGAAAAAGATTTGAAAAAGAACCAAAAAGAACTTCTAGAAGTTAAAAATAGTCATTAAAATATAAAATTCAATTGCTATGTTAAATGTATTAAAATACAATTGAAGGGCCGGCCCCCTGGCTTAGTGGTTAAGTGCACGCGCTCCGCTGCTGGCGGCCTGGGTTCGGATCCCGGGCGCGCACTGAGGCACTGCTTCTCCGGCCATGCTGAGGCCACGTCCCACATACAGCAACTAGAAGGATGTGCAGCTATGGCATACAACTATCTACTGGGGCTTTGGGGGGAAAAAATAAATAAATAAAATCTTTAAAAAAAAGATTTAAAAAAAAAATACAATTGAAGAAAAATTAGTTAACTGTCATGTTTACATGTAGAAACCATCCAGAATACAGCATAAAAAGATAAAAAATATGAAAGGGAATTTTATAGAAATGGAGGATGGATTGAGAAGACCCAAGATATATTTAGTAAAAGCTACATAAGAAGAGATTAGATATAATGGGAGAAAGGGAATATTTTAAGAGACAGTCACAGAGGATTTTCCAGAATTAACGCAAGATATGCATACTTATAATGAAGGACTATACCAAGTCCCAAAAAAGGATACATAAAAAGAAATCCACCATCAGACACCTCATAGTGAAATTACAGAATGTCATGGAGGAAAATCTTTAACACTAACCAAATGTGAAGACATATGATCTGTCAAGTTGTGACGTTTAGATTGACAGCAGTAACAGAAGCCAGAGCCAGTGGACAGTATCTTCAAAATGCTGTCAGATAATAACTATTACCCTGGAATTCTATGTCCAGGTGAACTCTCATTCAAGAGTGAGGACAAAATAAAAACATTTCAGACAAAGTGCAAGACAGTAAGTTCTGAAAAAACAACCAAAGCAGTTGGTTCAGCAAGAGGGAACTCAGACTTCAGCAAGAGGGAAATTAAATCCAGAAGAAAGGAGTGAAATTCAGGAACCAAGGAGGAAGAAACAGTAGTGGCCTCCTCTTTAATTTAGAACAATTTTAAAAACCAAATCATTTTCTTTCCCAAATCATGAAAACAATTTTTTAATATAAATATAATTTAAGAAAAAATCTGTTGTTTCATTTTGCTGTGAATATTTATAATAAATATAAATATCCAACAATGCTGATATATTTAAGGAAAATATGGAATATACAGAGAATGACATATTATGTCGCCTTGAAGAATTTTTGATGTCTTGTGATAGTGCTTATGTTAAGATGTTAAGGAAAAGCAACATGTAAAACATCGTATTCACTATTATGTGAGCTGAATAAAAACGCATAGAAAAAATATTGTAAGGCAATGTACCAAAAAATTTAAAAATCATTTTTTGATGCCTAATGATATTTTTCCTTTTACTTTATACTTTTAAAAATCCTACAATAGACATGTATTACTTTAATAATAAAAGAACTTTGAAATACTTAAAAACATAAGTATATTACTTTACTAAATGATGAATTTCACTAAGTAAACACCATGTTTATAATTTTGCAGGCAAACCTCTCCTCACCATCCTCTACAGTATCTGAGAGTCAGCTGGTACGTATCCTCTTACTAAGTCATAGATTTACTTTAGAAAATTCTGATCTCTCAAGACAGCTTTATTTGAGTGAAAGTGAACTGAGAATAAATTTACTACATGTAAGTTTATTCACTTACTCATCTAATAAAAAGTTTACTGATGCTTTACTAAAGCTCCATGGTGGTTGTTTTGCAGCTTACAAACATACATAAAACTGTCCATAGACCTTATTTGCCAGTAACTTCCGTCTTAGTAAAGGCGTTAGAATAGAATGGGTGAGATCAGAAACAAGATGCTGTTGGAATTTAGAGGAGAGAGCTCGCTTCATGATGGGAGAGATCAGGAAAGGGTTCAAGGAGGTCGGTCACATTTGATAATGTATGGTAGGTTCTGGACTTGAGGAAGTGGGAAATGAGATATTTCAGACAGGAAGATTAGCATGTGAATGGTCTAGACCAGTGATGAGCAATAGAAATATAATGTGAACCACAAATGCAAGCCACATATGTAATTTTAAATTTTCTAGTAGCAACGTTAAAAAAATGGAAAGAAACAGGTCACATTAATTTCAATGATATATCTTATTTAATGGTATATAAATATTACATTTCAACATATAATTAGTATAAAATTGAGATATTTTACATTCTCTTTTTGGGCAAAGTCTTTGAGATCTGCTGTGTATTTTACATTTGTAGTACATCTCAATTCAGACTAGTCACATTTCAAGGGCTCAACAGGGGGCCTAGTGACTATGCCATTGGACAGCACAGATCTGGACTCTAGAATCTGTTATTTATAGATAAAAATTTGACTAAATAGGAGAATTACTTTTTCTTATAGTGTTTTGTATTTCTTATTCTTCCAGTGGTTAGCAAATTAGAACCATGAAATAAGTTGCCTAGATATTACTAGTTAAAGATTTTCTTTACGTCTTTTAATTTTTATTGTTTATAACTGTAAATTCCTGTAAATTACGATTGTAAATTGTAAACAATAGGGCACCTTCAGTCAAATTAATGAAAATATGTAGTAGAGCAGTTTGAGACATTAAGAAGACAAAATCAGTTTGATGCTGATTTTTTTTCCTTTTTTAAGCAATTGTTTTGGTGTCCTACATTCATAGCCAACAAGTCATCTTGTCATTATCACGCCAAAATGACAACAATATTTTTGTTTGTACTACTGAAAAATCATAAAAAGTGTCATTTGATTCTTAGAATAGCCTGATTCAAGTGAACCACTTGGTTATGTTAGTGTCCATATAGGGTCTGTATGGGGTGTGTTTGCATGTGTGTAATTTTAATGTTGATTGGTTTAGAAGAGTGGCAGGCAGTCTTGTATAGTTAAGAATGCTGGAATGGAGTCCAGAAGACCCACCTTTTACTTCCTGCTCTGACACTAACTCCTGGGCTGACAGTGGATAAGTCACAAATCTGGGAGTCTGGATCTCAATCTGCTAAATGAACAATGAGAGCATTCTATTATGTACTTTCCAAGCCCCTCTAGTGTTGTAAGTCTATGATTACTAACACAGGGAAGAGACGGAGTTGCCGTGGAAACAAACACTGCAATAAAATAATGAAGTGGAACGATTTCCCACTTTAGACATGGAAATACTACTACAACTAGTTTAATATTTAAAATAACTATAATAATAATTTTAATATTTAAAATATACTTGTTTCTTGAGAGTAATGTGTGAAAATCAAGAATATTTTTAATATCCTCGTATATAATTTCACTCAACATAGTATACAGAATGCAGATTTTAGATGTTGAATGACTAAATATACATAGTCATTTAAAAATATGTATATATGTGTGTGTATATTATCAGACTGACATATATATATAGTTCTTAGCTTAATATGTTAAGAAACTATTGCAAAGAGGCAAATATATATATAATGATTTCATAAAATGAGACAGTAAGAACAACTCATTGTAAACGTAATAAATAAACCTTTTCTTGCCTAATAAAGTAATTCTATCAGTTCTATGGTAGTGGTCTCTAAGGGGAAAATACAAAGCATTGTTTTGACTGACTGTGATGATCATTTCTTTACATTTACTTTAGACCTTTCCTCTGAAGAGTTGGAGGAATTTCTTAACCAAGTTTTAAATTGTTATAATCCCAAAATGCCCTTGAGATATAGGTAGGTTTGTGAAGGGATTATTATCAGGCAAGTTTATCACACAAAAAAGAACATCTCTTGGACTAATATAATTATTCAGTTCAATCACTTTGACTTATATTTCATGACATTAACCCTGTATTTACATTACCTGGGAAAGGAGTAGAGTAGAAATAATTGTATGTGAGAGATATTATATGGCATTTGCTTCTTTAAAGATTTATAATAATTTTACTCTTAAGTAATTTTATTTATGAATGAAATTATAATTTTTTTTTCATTTTTATGAATGAATTTCCAGTATTTGCTCTCACAAACTCAGGATTAAGTTTTGAATAATTTGAGTAAATAACAATGCCTTTGAAAAACAAAACTATGTATATATATATATATATATATACACACACACATATATATGTGTGTGTTTATAACATACATACATATATATCTGCGTGTTTATAACATACACACACATATAGATACCATATGACAGGTAATTCTTATAATACGTATATATTGCTTTTTGTTTATATATGTGTGTACGTGTGTGAAGCACATAAAAACAAAATTATTGACATCTGATAGATTATAGTTAAATTATATAAGTAAAATACCATATGTTTTGTATAAAATAAGCAGTTAGTTAAAATTATTTGACTGCTATTTTAGGGAAGAAATGTAGTAAACTTTTTGGAGTGAAAATATATGATAAATCATGGTGATAGAAGCTTAATACAGAAGCCATGACGCTTTTGAGATTTGGCTTTTTAATATATATAAAAATGTACCATTTTCATACTTTTTTCTTTTTAATTTGGCTTACCTGTTTGCTTGTATACATTGCAGTTGTGCAAATTCAACATTAGAAGGAAAAAAAAAATGACCTGCCTCTTACTCTTAAAATATTTCCACTGTTTGCTCTGGAACCCAAATTGTTTAGTAGTGGGCTCAGGGCGAATAGTTTGGGGCTCTTATGAAGCTAGATCTCCAATCTATGCCTCAATTTTTCTTCTTTCATTAAACAGCATCACAGTACATCAAAAGTGGAAAGGGACGTACAGATGAGGGTGTTAGAAATACCCATCTATAAAATGGGGTTGGAATAATTCCTCTGTCAACCTGAGGGCGTTATTGTAAGGCTTACATATGACAATATGTGAAATTGCCAATGTAGCCTTGCACATATGAGAGATGTTATTATTGCACATAAAATCTCTGAAATATTATGAGGTAATGTGAGTGGCCATTTTTTCCGACAAAGAAACAGAGGCTCACAGAGTTTAGATAATCTAAGATCAGAGTATCAGTGGTTATCCTTGTTCTGTGTGACTTTCAAAAAGGAATCGTTAGGGATTTTAGATAATTCAAGCAGAATAAGAAAAGATTGATGAAGGAGTTGGGAAATTGGGCATCTACAGAAGAATGACCTTCATTGGGCACCTCCTATGTTGGACACTACTGGCATTTTTGCATTGCCTACAAAGATATGACTATTTACTGAAGAGGAGGAAACTGGGTTGGGTCAGTCAGGGTGTGGAGGTTTTGCATCTGTGGATAATGCTTTTCCTAGCATAATAAAGGGAGCAAAAGGAAAGGAAGGATCTAGAATCTACCTGAACCTTCGCAAAGCTTTCCTAATTCCTGAGCTGAGTCATCACAATATTAACAGAGGCTGGTGGGGTCTCTTTTCTCTGGATAAGAGAAAGGTTGGGCTCTACAAGTTGGGTACGCGTTGGTCTTCCTTGGCTGTCGGTAGGGGAGCCTGGTTTGGATCATATTTGGCTTTTGCTTTTGAAATTTCATGCCATTAAAAATGTTCATTGTTGTCCAGGATGGAATACTGAATCTAGAGAGTATGAAACAACAGATTTAAAAAATAAGCCACATGGCCATATACAGGTAAAAGCAAAGGTAGCTTACTGGAACATTATAAAGAGGAGCGCTCGAACTTGCAGATACTTTGTTCCCAGTTCTAAAGGCCAGCTGATGTATCCTGTTTTAGTGGCGCATGACTCATCTTTTTGAGGGCTCTTCAGGTCTCTGTTGTTCAGCAAATGCAGCCCTGAAAGCTTTTGTGTAGAGCTGATGTCTTCTTCAAGCTTAAAGGCCGTTTGTCCTTGCCCGGTTTTTCCTTGACACAACATACTGAAGTGCTGCAGCATTGATCATGTGCCCCTCCTCGGGTCTGAGCCATGCTATTGTCTTTCTTTAACCATTGAAATGTTTCAATACGGCCAATCTGTGTTGTATACGTTCCACAAAAGGTTTCTTGAGCTATGGGATGAGGTTTGTCATTATTGAAATCCTATATACGTTTATTTTATACAATGATCATAGTAATGATAATTTTTTTTTTTTTGGAAAAAGCACATCAGGTAGGTACTTTCCCCCATAGTCCAGAGCAGTTAGTATCAGCACTCTATAGTATAAATGCAAAAATAGGAAAAAGTAAAGTTTTTTTCCTTTCAAATTGCTTTTATGCTGCTTTTTCTAATGTTCTGTCATGCGTATTATCTCATTAGATTCTGACAATCACCTTGTAAGTTAGCATCGCAGGACTTAGTGCCATTATTCTGATGAAAAAAACCTGAAGTCCAGATATTTACAATGCTGTGTCAACAGTCCCATAGCTAATAGGTAGTATAAAAATCTGGTTTTCTTTCCCCTCCAATCTTAGCAGCTGTACTCTGCACTATAGTGTTTTGAAATTTGAGATATTTCTTTGATGGGAAAAAAAACCTTAAGTATTTGCTTCAAGCTTATAATACTGTTTATTTAAAAAAGAATTACAGTTAATAAACATTTATTAATCGAATGAGTGAATCAGCTAAATAATTTAGAGAATATTGCTTTTGTCAACAATCTTGACTGGTAGAATG